ACTTTATTATTGCCTCTAGGGCATATTTCCTTCAATGTCCACATCGACCATGGCCACACCGATGGTCGCCCATACCACCCCGCTCCAACCAGATAAAGTAGCCCTGACACCCAGAGTTCCCCGTCTCCATCCTCCTCTACATTCGCTTAAGCGAGCCCTCTTTGCCCCTCTAGACTGCGCCCTGAGCCATTCTCGAAGCACCATCCGCCATGGTCCCCATCCTTCGCGTGCTATTTATTTCCTCTCTAGTAGAAATCCGTTGGGCCCCAAATGTGGATGTTGTAGAAAGTAGCAATTTCCCTCAAGTGAATGACCTTAAGGTTTATCGAACATGCATTACGCAGGTCCTCGGAATCCAAGCGTTAGGCTATGGGAGAAGAGTTTTCCAAACTACTAGAGGCAGATTTCGTCCAGGAAGTCAAACATTCAGACGGGTGATGCCTGCTACGCAACTTTATTCTTGTAGACTCGTGTTGGGCCTTCAAGCGCAGAGTTTTGTAGGATAGTAGTAATTTTCTCTCAAGTGAATAACCTAAGATTTATCAATCCATGGGAGGTGTAGGATGAAGATGATCTCTCTCAAACAACCCTGCAACCAACTAATGAAAAGTCTCTTGTGTCCCCAACACACCAAATACAATGGTAAATTGTATAGGTGCACTAGTTCGGCGAAGAGATGATGATACAAGTGTAATATGGATACTAGATATTGATTTTTGTAATAAGAACAATAAAAAACAGCAAGGTAGCAAGTAACAAAAGTGAGCACAAACGGTATTAAAATACTTAAAAATGAGGCCTAGGGTCCGTACTTTCACTAGTGCAATCTCTCAATAATGCTAATATAATTGGATCATATAACCACCCCTCAACATGCGATGAAGAATCACTTCAAAGTTCTTATCTAGCGGAGAATATAAAAAGAAATTGTTTGTAAGGTACAAAACCACCTCAAAGTTATCCTTTTTGATCTTTCTATCCAAGAGTTCGTACTAAAATAACACAAAGTTACCCTTTTCGATCGATCTATCCAAGAATTCGTACTAAAATAACACCATATGATACACATCAACCAACTCTAATGTCACCTAGATACTCCAATGTCACCACGAGTATCCGTGAGTTGATTATATGATATGCATCAAACAATTTTAGATTCATAATACTCAATCCAACACAAAGAGCCTCAAAGAGTGCCCCAAGATTTCAACCGGAGAAATAAAGACGAGAACGTGCGTCAACCCCTATGCATAGATTACCGCAATGTCACCTCAGAAATCCGCGAGTTGAGTGCCAAAACGCACATCAAGTGAATCGATATGATACCCCATTGTTACCGCGGATATTCATAGCAAAACATACATCAAGCGTTCTCAAATCCATAAAAGTATTCAATCCGATAAGAATGAAATCTCAAAGGGAAAACTCAATTCATCACAACAACATAGAGAGGGGAAAACACCATATGATCCAACTATATTAACAAAGCTCGCGATACATCAAGATCGTGCCAAATCAAGAACACGAGAGAGAGAGAGAGAGAGAGAGAGAGAGAGAGATCAAACACATAGCTACTAGTACAAACCCTTAGCCCCGAGGGTGGACTACTCCCTCCTCATCGTGGTGGCTGCCGGGATGATGAAGATGGCCAACGGTGATGATTTCCCCCTCCGAGAGGGTGCCGAAACAGGGTCTAGATTGGTTTTTCATGGTTGCAGAGGTTTGCGGCGGTGGAACTTCCGATCTAGGGTTATTTTTGGGGTTTCTATATTTATAGAATTTTTTGGTGTCGGTTTTCACGCGAAGACGGGCTTCGAGGGGCCCACTGCCCACCAGCACACACCATGGTGGGTAGTGGCCACCTCCTTCATCTTCTGGTCCTCCCATGAAGCTTCTAGTGCCTCTTTTGTTTCAAAAAAATCGTCAAAAAGTTTCGTTGCATTTGAAGAATTTTTATTTCTGCACAAAAAAAACACCACAGTAGTTCTGCTGAAAACATCATCAGTCCATGTTCGTACCATTCAAATCATACCAAAACCATATAAAGTTATTGTAAACATGGCATGAATACTTAATAAATTATAAATACGTTGGAGTCGTATCAACGGGTTGTCGAACCTAGTCATGCATCATGTACTCGAGTTTGCTCTTCCAGTTCAAACCAAATGCAGATCCATCCTCCCTTGGTGGTTAGTCTCGTCGATCAAATCTAGTGAGACAATCCGTTGTTTGAAACCCTCACCATCTCATGATCTAAACCGAAGTCAAAACCAAGGCTGGACAGTGGTCCTTGACCACCCCGTTAGCACGAGCAGCCTCCGGTCACGATAGGAGGAGGAGAAAACTACTCAATGTCAGTGAGGCGACAAGAAGAAGGGAAAACCCCACCGAGGGGGGGGGGGCTCAAGATGAGCTACCTCCGTCATTTTTTTGTATACACATTTGTAAGGCTACCCGGGCTGGGCCTGGACTACTGCACAAAAGAAACCCATAACTCGGGGCTTTACTTCCGGCAGGCAATCCCGACCGCGAGAGTTATTTATCGCGTTAAGCGATGCTATAGACTAATCTCGCGTCGAGATTTCCCATCGTGGTCATGTACTGGGCTCGCATATTTTCACGCGGAAAAATAGAAATGAAAAAGGGATCGATCCCTGGTCGCGCATGAACAAACGAAGGGCACCAGCCATCGCGCCACACCAACCATTAATGTCTTAGTGATAAAAGCAAGGGCTCGACCCACTTGACGTATGACGTGATGGTTTTCTCCTCTTTATTTTCATTTTCTTTCCTTTTCTTTTTTTTCATTTCTTTGTTTTTGTTTCTTCATTTTTTTCCTTCTCTGTTTTTATTCATCTTTTCATTGTCCGAATGCTTATTCAACATTTTCAGATACTTCTTCAACATTTTTATAATACCCATTCAACAATTTTTAAAACTTATTCAACATTTTTTCAAATACTCGTTCAACATTTTAATAATTATTCAACATTTTTCAAATACTGGTTCAATTTTTTTAATACGTATTAAACATTTTTCAGATACTTGTTCAACATTTTAAATTCTTATTCAACATTTTTCAAATACTCGTTCAACATTTTTTGATACTTATTCAATATTTTTTAAATACTGGTTCAACATTTTAAATATATAGTTCAACATTTTTCAAGTACTGGTTTAACATTTTTTTAATACTTTTTCAACATTGTTAATACTCATTCAATATTCAAATAATTGTTCAACATTTTTCAAATACTCATTCCACATTTTTTAATACTTATTCAACATTTTTCAAATACTCATTCCACATTTTTTAATACTTATTCAACATTTTTCAAATAATCATTCAACATTTTTCAAATGTGGTTTTTGAAGAGTGTTTTTTGAAATATTTATCTATACCTATTATTAAAGGAGATAGATATTCTTAGATTGGTCCTGCTTTGTTTCGTCCCGTTTTAAATATTTTTATATATGCTATGTTTTAGTTGGAAATTGAGACGTACGTGAAAAAAATGGAAAAACTAAGCGAAACGGCCAGCCGGCCGGCCCATGTCTGAACTGCTGCTGGCTCAACCTCTAGCGAGCCAAAAAGAATTGGTGCTCGCACAGGTGTCAAACTTGCAACCTCACACAAACAAACAAATCTTCTCCACCAACTTATCCATTTGTCTTCTCTAAGTTGTCATAGGCTCTTTTCTATTTATACACTACTTTTGACAAAGTTATGTAGGCTAGGTTATCAATGCGCGTGTGAGGCAAAACAATGTCTACGTGTAGGATCCTTAAAATTACGTGTACGTGTAGATTCTTACAAAAAAAATCATGCATGCGTAGAAACTTTTTTTTGACGCGATGCATGTGAACAAACTTTCTATTTTGAATTGCCATGTGAAGAAACTTGATTTTTTTTCCTTTTGAGAAAGTGAGGAAACTTGATATGATGACCTTTTTATCTTTTTTTGAGTGTTGATGATATTTTTACCTGATACACCGTACTAATTGATGGCAGCCTGGCAGGTTTGTCTTAAAAAAATGTGCCAACTCAAACTGAGCCTGCTTCGCAAGAGAGAGAAAATGATCAATTAGTTCGCCACCTGATTAAATAGGATCACCTTGGCTTTTATACCAAATTTTACAAATTTATATACGTGCACGAGTTGTCTTGAAGACAAACAAGGCGTCCCAAGAATAAGAACAAAAAGGATGAAGTGTGTGTCTCATTCATCCTATGGGCATAAAAGGAAAGAGAAATTAATACCAGGAATTAAATATCCAATGAGGTGAGGGGGCACGACATAGATTCCTGCAGGACAAATAGCAATGACACAACCATGTGGACTAATAACACAATGGAAAAATACGAGGTAGGAGGGCACGACATGAGAGTCGATTTGGGAGGTGAGATGGGCTAAAACACATTTAGCAAGATTTTTTCATGACTCTGTGCGCATTCCGAAAAATTGCTCCAACTTCCGAATAATGCCTTGGTATGTAAGATTTGAGATGAGGCCTTTTAAATAACAGAATAGTTGTACAAAAATCATACCAAAAATATCATACGTGATGGTTTTCGATGTACGTCTTATAGGCATTTCTGGTAGCGTTTGTCTCACTGCCGTCATTGGGTGGCACCATTTGGATATTGTTATGCCGTGTTGTTGTGATGGACATGTTATTTATCTCTCCCGTTGCAACGCACGGGCATATGTGCTAGTACCACATATATATATATATACACACACACACGTGTAGAATATTTTCAATTATAAAAAAAGAAAGCCAAAAACGTAAAAAAAAAACAAAAACAGGTAACAGGCTGGTGTATCCCGCACGCGTGGGCCGGTGCAAGTGGCGTTTGCCTTCAGCGAGGTGTCGCCCCTATCTCGCTGAACGCGAGGAATAGTCGCGCCCAGTCCCGACGTTGTCTCCTCCACCGTCCGCCGCCCGCCGCCTTTGCGAAGCGCAGCCTACACGCCGCGGTGGATGCCACTTCTGCCATGGCTGCGGACTGGACATCGGCGCGCCGGGCGTGGGAGAAGTGGACCGGGAAGCACGTCGGATCTTCCGGTCTGCCCTCCCTTCCTTTCCCTCCCACTTCGCTACTGTTTCTGCTCTCTCGTGTGAACCATAATCCCCATCCTCTTGCAGGGATGCCGATCAAGGCGGCGCTGCTGCTCAACTACGATCCGACAGGACCATCTCGCCTCTTCCCCATGGTGTAAGTATCGTCCCAAACATCGGTAGCGCGGGCAATTTGTTTTTTCCCCATAGGAAGCACAAAAGCCGGCGCGGGCAATTTGATGGGCATTTCCTTGGTGGCTATATAATCTTCAATAGTGGCAATTGGACTGCAGAATGGTGTTAATGAATTTTCTCACGCGGTCGTGTATGTTTCTGATGGAAGCTGTTCGGTTATTTAGTTAGTTATTAGAACGTTCCGGATGAATTTGGTAGTAATGTCATTGGTTCATCTGAAACTGGCACCGTTTCTTGGTTGATGCATTTAGCAAAGTTGTAGTTTAATGTCGTTATTATTTCCGTCCATAGCTACCAGAAGAAGCCTGAATCACAGACGTGACAGAGATCTCAGTGCCAAAGATATGCAAAACCCTGTTCACTAACATACACGAATGTTCAAGTTGTAGAAGTTTGAATTCACAATCTTTTTTAAATGTCCAGAGCAGAGCAAGAGGGAGCAAAATTTACTGCTGTTGATCTGCAGCCATCCGTCGACTTCTTTAGAAGGAATAATCTGCAGACGGAATTCTTTTCTATTGGGCCAAACCAATGTGAGTCTCTCACATTATGAGCCTAAATCTTGCTCACTGATTTAGGGATAGTTAAACCAAGTTATCTTTGTTATCTCGAGCAATATTGTCATTGCAAGTTATAAATTTGTAGATGTGGTCACCTCAATCCACGGACACTGGTTTACTGCTCGTTGCGTTAACACAACACAGCCAGGAGGTGAAGGAGTTATAATTATGCAGATCGGAGCATACTTGTTAGTCTCTATGTATGTATCCCCTTGTTCAACTTTTTCTTTACTGAAATCAGTTATCAGGATTCCTCTAAGGGTTCTTAGTATACAGCTTGATCTGCCAGAATTAATTTGATTTGCAATTGTTATTGATGCATAGGTATGATGGTTCTGTTGGTTCGGCTTCACGGGCAATGGTGGCTGTTGATCAGTTTGCATGGCACTTTAACCGGAAAACACATTAAGTTATTATGATGTAGACCCATGGCCTTAGAGTCTAGTGTATAACCTGACATACTGCCTAATCTTGCTGCTGTACTGGGGCTAGTAGGCATGTAGTGTAATAACTAAGGTTCTCTTTAATGGACTGAGTTCACATGGCACGTTTTTTCCATAATTTACAGATTGCGCTGAATGTTTATGAGGTTTAGCTCAGTTCGAGAGGAAGGCACAGTGTAGAAGGAGTGGAATTAGCGTGAAAAATCGCTAATTTTTTTTCCGTCAGGGCGGGTAAAGCCTGACGAAACAGGTGAATTCACTGCCACCAGCGGACCGAAGAAACAGGTCTCTTTATTAACCTCAAAATGTGGCTTGCTGGTCAGCCCCCATCTTGGGGGAGGAGTGACTCTGAATTTAGTCGTACAATATTTGCATAGTAACAGAAGATTAGCTTCTACATCTCCAATTGTTTGCTTAGATTTTGGGAATTTCATGTATGAACTTACACACTACTTGAGCAATATTCGTAACTATAATGTTTCACACTGATAAAATGGTGAAACTATGAAGATGTCATAGAAACGTTGTACTATAGGTAACTTTTGAAGTTCTTCAATAAGGTAGGTGTGCTATCCAGTATATTTGAGATCCAACTTGGTATAAGCTAACTAAAACATTAATATATTGTTTGGCAAACAATTTCCGCTCACTAAGATAAGCAACAGTTTTTTTTTTGAAACCTGAACTGTAGAACTATTGGTCTACGGTATTTTCACTAATAAAAAAGTATATACAAACTAAGCAAAATGAAAACTAAGACCTAATGACCACAGGGTCAGCCAATTCCTTGTCTAGGAAAAATTGAGAAAAAGGCAAACGTCACAGAAGCCTATCAATCCAGTCTTTCAAAACTTGCAAATTGCCTTCTTTAATCCTGTAGCAAATAATCTGGAGGGCCTGCTTAAGGTGTGTCTTCCAAGAAAGGATACTGGGAGTGATGTTCTTAAAAGTTTTGCTGTTCCTTTGGGTCCAAATATTCCAGCAACCCATAACTAGAATTTCCATAGCAATGCTTCTTGGTAGTGCACTGGTGGCCAGCTGAATATCCAACAGAACAGAGGTGCCTCTTATGTTCTGAATAAGGGAATCCCAACATGTCAAGGCAAAAGGGCAATCCCAGAAGAGGTGAAAAGCAGTTTCTAAACGCTGGTTGGAGCAAAGTGGGCAGCAGTAGGATGGAAGTCAAAAAGATTTTCTCTGGAGTAAGTCTCTAGTATTTAATCTGTCATGCAGCATCAACAAGAAGATTTTGTATCTCAAAATGGCAGCACATCTCCAAAGTTGACCAAATATCTCATGAGCTGGAGGTTGAATTCTCATGTTTTGTACATCTGATTGGCAGAGTATGAAGGGCTTTTCCAAGGGTACCCCCCTTTGTCTTTTCCATCCCCCAGCTGGATGTGTTGAATCAGAGCCTGGAACTGTTCAAACTGATTGAAAGCTTGTAGGGAAACATGCCTATGAAAAAGGTCACCTAAATCTTGGCAATGAGCAGCTTGCTTGAAGGATGTGTGCTCACTGATAGCAAATGAGTGAAGTTCTGGGAATAAGCCAGCACATGATTGAGCATTCCACTTGTCTGACCAGAGAAGAATGGTACTTTGTGTCCAATATCACAGTGTGTGACATACTTGAAATGGGGCATGAGCTTCAACACACTCCTCCACCAAAAAGACCCCCACCATCATTGGTACAGTAGGACTCCCAAATAAGTTTGACCCAGGGCAGATCATGTTGATTGAAAAACTTGTGCAAATGCTTCATAAACAGAGCCTTGTTATGTGTCTCAATGTTCAAAACTCCAAAGCCATCCTCATTTTCCCCTTGGCACACCTTTTTCCAAGCAATTAAGGCAGAACCTCTATCCTCCATGCCATACTTTCTCCAAAAGCAATGTTTAAGGTACTCCCTCCGTTCCGAATTACTTGTCGCAAGTATGGATGTATCTAGATGTATGTAGATGTATTTTAGTTCTAGATACATACATCTAGATACATCTATTTCTGCGACGAGTAATTTGGAACGGAGGGAGTACTTGTTATTACCAAACAGATTTAGGCAGTTCCAAAGTGCAATAAAAAAAAGTTGGCACACTGGTAAAAACTGATTTGATCAACTGCAGCTTTTCCCCATAGGACAGGAATGTTGAGCAGCCAGAGGGCCTCTTGGCGGTTCTTTTTAGGATGGGAACAAAATCTTCAACCCTTGGTTTGGATGTGCCTAGGGGAAGGCCTAGATAAGTAAATGGGAAGGTTCCCAGAGCACAACCAAGCATTTCAGACAACAATTGCAGCTTAACAAGTGGCACATTGATGGGCAACATAAAGGATTTGCTATAGTTTATTCTGAGGCCTGAGAAGACTGTGAAGTGCGTAAGAAGATTCTGGAGTCGCTGAAGTTGAACAGTGCAAGCAAGCATCATGATTACAATGTCATCAACATACTGTATTACTGGAAAGTCTTATCAAGGGTGTTGAATGAGGTTTTGGTTCATAGCTTCATTACATATAGATTGAAGGAGTCAGCTGCCAAAACAAAGAGCAAAGGTGAGAGAGGATCACCATGCCTAACCCTTCTCCTCCACTAAACTGTTTTCCAGAGACACCATTAAGTTAAGCATCAGAATAACCAGAAAAGAAAATCATCTCCATCCACTTAAGCCACTTAGGACCAAAACCTTTTGCAACTAGAATTTGCTTTATAGTTTGATGCCCAATCATGCCAAAAGCCTTTTCAAAATCTAATTTAAGAATAATGATCTCTTTGGTAGACTATGGGCACTGATTGATGTACTCATAAGCCCATGTAAGGCAGTCCTGAATAGATCTTGTTCTAAGGAAACCATATTGATTTGCATGAACAAGCTTAAGAATTATTTGCTGCAGTCTGTTGGCCAAAATCTTAGTAATGATTTTGATTGAGCAGTTGAGCAAGGAAATAAGTCTGTAATCACTTGCAGTCATAGGAGTGTCAATCTTTGGAATCAGAGTGATGAAAAGACGAGTTAATACTTTGCATGTTGGTATTTTCATGCAAAAAAAATCCTCAATGCGACCGCAGAAGTCTTTAGCAATGATGTGCCAACAAGTTTTGATAAAATTAGTATTAAAACCATCTGGCCCAGGAGATTTGTCAGAAGATAGCTTCTTGACCACATCATCAATCTAGGCTTTAGAGAAAGGAGCTTCTAGAAAACCCAAATCTTCCCCTAAAAAAACAACCCAAATGTTCTCTAACCATAATGAGAAAATCCAGATTGAGCAGATTATGCGTTTGGACTAAAGTGCCAAGTCTAAGCTTGAAAGCCTTCCAAAGAATTGCGGATTTGGCATGGTGGTCATGATAATCAAACCCATTATCATCTTTCAGTGAGGATATGCGATTCTGTCTAAATTTTAAGTTGGCTTTGGCTTGTAGAAATTTAGAGTTAATCTCTCCAAACTTGGCCCACTTCACAGTACCTCTCTGTTTCCCGTATATTTGCTGACAGTCTAATAGGATGAGAAGGTGTTCTTTTAATAGAGTTCTAGCATTATCCTCCACAACATCAAGGCACCCGAATTCCCCCAGTATAAAAAAATAGAATAACATCATTAGTTGTTTTGTTAGTTGATGCTAGACCAGAAATATTTCTTGCCCAAATCTTTAATCCCTTTCTTAGCCTCTTAAATTTTGTTGTTAGTCTCTTGGTAGAGTCCACTTCATCAACCTGCTGCTGCCAAATGCCCCTGACAGTATCCATGAATCCTGGGTGTTGCAACCAGAAGTTCTCAAATCTGAATATTTTGGATTTGGGGATGGAGGTACATATCTGGATCACTGAAGGAACATGATTAGAGATGGGTTTTGCAAGAGGGATATCCATTGTATTTGGGTAGTGCAAAGTCCATGCTTCAGAAGTAAACAAACCAGTCTAGTTTTTTCTAAAAGGACCATCTTGCATGTTGCTCCAAGTGAACTGCCTGCCTTTAAGTGAAATTTCCATAAGAGCTAACTCACTAATGGCTGCATTAAAATTGTTCATGTCAGTAAAGCAGCCACCCTTTGGCCACCCTTTCTGTTTCTGTTCTCAGGATAACTGAGATAATTGAAGTCTCCAAGAACTAATCATCCACATCATCAGGCATTTCAATGTTTTGGAACCAATCAAGAAACAAAGTTCTTGATTCAGACCGGCAAGGGCCATAAATGTTAGTGATAATCCAAGAATCACTATTGTGCACTGAAATGAATTGTATAGAAATAGAAAATTCATTCTTAAATTGAGTTGTGCCTTGGAACATAACATCAGATCAAAGCTAGCCATTTGTTCCTATCATTAATACCTCTCACATTCCAATTTAATACATTCCAGCTTTTAGCCATTGCAAAACAAATATGTTACCTGAAGTGATTCGCAACAAAGCCAAGTGGAAGACCCCAAGAAACATCAGTTTAGGAGTTGAGAAACATCACACAACTCAAGTCTGACTGATAAACAGAGTGCAGATAGGGCCATCATTGTCATGGGGCTTATTACAACTTTCAGAAGAACAATTACTACCAAAATGTCACTAAATAAAGCAAATTCCAGCTTTCAACTTCAAGACACCACTCTATCCGGCTTTTGGTCAGTTCAGCATGCGATCGGAGTCGGTTGTTGTTTACTCCCATGTACTCTCTCCGTAAAGAAATATAAGAGCGTTTAGACCACTAAAATAGTGATCTAAATATTTTTATATTTATTTACGGAGGGAGTACAACACCTTCTAATCGACGCATAATCTGGGTACGACTTGTGCGAGCGAGCGCCCCATTTATGTTCTCTCAGACTTTTCAACTCGGCGTGCTCGGATGTCCCATCCCACAGTCGTGCCGCAGGAGGGGGGGAGTGTTGGGAGCCGGATGCTCTGCCTATGGCCTTGCGATGTGCATGGGATGGGTACGCACGTTCCACGAGTGACGAGGGGTTTCTTGAGCTAGCGCCTATCTCACATCGCATGCCCACCATCTGTGCAAGGCGCGGACTGGGGTGAAGAAGTCAAAGGTGTCCCCACGGTAAAGCTCACGCAGTCGTATAGACTATAGAGCATCAAGAGCAGTCTCTCAAGCCGATGGTGAAAGTGATGACCAATGGGAAAACGCATTAATGTCTAGAGGAGACGCATAGAGCATCAACAACCCTCTCCAAACAACTCACGTAGTGCACAACAGTCGCTACCACAATCATAACAGAATGAACTATTTGTCCAGCGGTTGTTTGTTCACCGGAGTGGAGTCTGTTGGTCCACCCGGCTGTTGTACGTTGTCGAGGCTAGCTGGTCAGTGCAGTGTGCATGCGTATTATTCTGTTAGAAGGATATGTGACTGTGTGTTGCATGGCCGGTTATGATGGTTTGAGGTCATTTGCTATAGGGGGTATGGTCGAGCTTTCGAGCAACCTGACTGTTTGGTTGCCCTAGTGGGCCCTCTCTGTGTTTGTCTATTAGTTTGGTGGTGCCCTACCGAGCGATCTCCTCGCCAAACACCGACACTACATGGAACGTGTCCGTTGTACTGAATATAAACGGTCGCCAACTGATGTAGGGTAGGAACCATAGGGGCTGATCTTCCATGAAAGGAGCGAATTCTGTGATGAACACGAAGAACACGAGGAGGGAAACGAGGGAAAAATCACGAGAGGAACACAAGAGAACACTCAAACCAACAAGAATGATCACACATGCACTAGATCCATGAACACAAAGGAAGATACAAGATCCTGCTACCTCTTGAGCACTGCGTTGGATTTCCTTGAAGAGGAAAGGAGATGCAACAAAGTAGCGTAAGTATTTCCCTCAGTTTTTGAGAACCAAGGTATCAATCCAGTAGGAGGCTACGTGCGAGTTCCTCGTATCTGCACAAAACAAATAACTCCTCGCAACCAACGCGATAAGGGGTTGTCAATCCCTTCACGGTCACTTATGAGAGTGAGATCTGATAGATATGATAAGATAATATTTTTGGTATTTTTATGATAAAGATGCAAAGTAAAATAAAAGCAATGAGAATAACTAAGTATTGGAAGATTAATATGATGAAGATAGACCCGGAGGCCATAGGTTTCACTAGCGACTTCTCTCAAGAGCATAAATATTTTACGATGGGTGAACGAATTACTGTTGAGCAATTGACAGAATTGAGCATAGTTATGAGAATATCTAGATATGATCATGTATATAGGCATCACGTCCGAGACAAGTAGACTGACTCATGCCTGCATTTACTACTATTACTCCACCCATCGACCGCTATCCAGTATGCATCTAGAGTATCAAGTTCATGAAAACAGAGTAACGTCTTAAGCAAGATGACATGATGTAGAGGGATAAATTCATGCAATATGATAAAACCCTCATCTTGTTATCCTCGATGGCAACAATACAATACGTGCCTTGCTGCCCCTACTGTCACTGTGAA